GTTTGATAGAAAGGCATGTTAGCTCAAGCTGCTGAGAAAGAAATTGAAAGCGTGGAGTACTATTCTTTCACTGCCCTTTTTGTACTCAGTGACTAGTAGTGGTATAATTTATCAAGCATTTTTCTGCTAACATAATTAACTCTGTAGCACCTCTATTATGGGTCTTTTTTACACTTAAGCGCAGAATTTCGCTTGGAGCCACCAGGGAAACAAAACCAATAAAAAATACTCTCGAGTCAATACACAATGTCAATAACCGATTTTAACTCACCATCGAGATCAAAGTAGGCCAATGATGCCGGTACACCATCGCGCCAACGTGGCAACGCTACATACATGCGCGATCGATAAACCTCCAGTCCAAAAGGTATCACATTATCTGGGCGCAATTCATGGTTTTCAATAGCCATCCAACGCGCTTCAGCATTCTCGTACTTGTAATCCATCTCCTTCCATTCGTAAGCGACGCGCAAATTATCCTTGCATAGAGCCAAGGTGGTGAAGAGTAAAATGGCACATACAGTTAGAAGAATCTTGGAGGCCATTTTGTGATATTGTTTTTTTTTGCTTCAGCTGTAGTTTCGTAATTATTTTACTATTTCGTAATCTATTACTGAAGCTAAATATATTATTTAGCGCTTGTGGCTAATTGTTTTTCTCGATTTGGGTTTGACGGAGTATGATAAAATATGTTAATTTTAACGGGAATGAACCTGCTCGTGGAGTTGAAATATATAGCACAACGAAATACTGTAGTCGGTGATGATGTTATTGTTGCCGTTTTTTTTTTTACTTTTATTCTCCCTTTTCTATACTAGTTAATACTTCAACTTGGGATCAATCTGCGAAATGCTGAAAATAGATAATTATGTATATTAGTTATTAATTGAAATGTTTTTATTTGCAATATTTAAGTTTAAAATTAAGGCAATATTTAAGGTAACGATACCGTTATATGATTAACCTGATTTTTGAGTTTTAAAGGGCAGTTTCTCAACTTAATGAACTTGAAAAAAAACGATCCTAAGAACTCTTTTGTTAACCGCTTTAAATGAAAATTAAATTATTTCCATTTTTTAATTTTACATACATATGTATCTTTTCCCAGCATGAATTTAGCAATCAAGTTTATGAATGAGTATCTTTTATGCAAAAAAAAAGTAAGCCTACAACGCAATACAAAAGCATTCGGCACAATAACATTGATGTCTGTAAATAGTTTCGATTTTTCTTCTTTTTTTCTTCAGTACTTTCTTATTCAACGACCTTGTCCAATCACAACTTCAAAACAATTTTGCATTCGTTTGCCACATAGCGTCACCGCCTCTATTGTAGTCATTTGTTTGTAGTCTATATTTACGTAACCGCTAAAGTGGACAGACAAGCGAATTTGTGCACCTTTCTATTCCTTTGTTTAAGCTTTTGTGCTTTCGTATTGTACGCATGCAAACAAGTTTAATACAAAATGGATACAATGATAGTTTCCACTGATCAAAGGCGCTTTGATTTTTCAAAGAGCACAGAAGTAGTACATACGAGTATACATGAATGCACATATGTACACACACACATATTTATGTGCATATATATTTCTTACCCACTAATTAATAAATCTTTTGGTGTTCGAGTGAGCTCATAAACTTTATGCAACCCACATAAAATGGAACAATTTATTGTGTGCTGATATAAAAGTAGCCCAATGATCAAGCAACGTTATGGCCTCTGACTATTCCTTTTGAAACACTTATTTTAAAATGAGAGACGATCATTATCTATTGAATTTTTTTTCTTAATAACAGACAGTCGTGTTCTTAATCATAAAACATTAATGTTGCTGAACTGTATAAACGGTGTTGCTAGATTTCACCCAGACTGGCGCGTAAGCTTCTCAAGAAATGTGATGGCACGTCTTGTATTATTTGCTCATGCACTCGAGATACAAGTCTTATTGCCATAAGTATTTCGTAACGTAAGTGCATATGTATGTATGCTGAAATTTTCGAAAAAGAATTTAATTGCGTTTTTTTTTAAATCAAATACTGTGTATGTAAGCGCCCAAATGGCGAAATAAATGTAACGGTATATTGAAGCGTTTGAGATGGGAAATTTCAAAAAGTTTTAAATATATATTTTTCTTTTTTTGGTTCAAGGAATCCATTTACTTGGTGGCAAGAACCACCAAAAACATATTTTGAACTTTTTTTAAGTAAATTGCGTGCGGCTTTAGACCAAAAACGGGAGAACCCCAAAATTTGTTTACCTCAAACAGTATGCAATGCACTTAAAAAAAAAATGAAGTATATTTTTCGGTTTTTGCGACAATGAAAATTTATTCCTTTGACGCAAAAATAACACAAATATAAATGTTTAAAACTTTTAAAAAGTTCGTTGCATACAGTTTTTTTCAAGGTCAATTTAAAGACTTAGGTTATTAGTTTACACAACGAGACTAGTTTTCCAGAATTGTCGATCTCAAAAGGTTTAAAATAGTTTTGTCTACCTTTATTCCACTATTGGTTCTCGAGATATTAAATTTTGTTCCACTGTGCGGTGTTGCCAACACTTTTTAAGTTCTCTGTCTAATATCAACAAAACCTTCAGTAGGCAGTCTATATTGAGTGCTTCACAAATGTGTGTGGCCTTAAAATTAAATGGCTTTTTATGTGTGCTACAGAAGACTACAGAATAAGCTATTTTCTTTATGTAACAACAAGATTTTCGACATTCCCATAGCCATTATATTAAAAAAAACTCTCAAATTGCAAATAAAACTTCCAACTTCACTAACAAAAGCCAAACGCAAATAAATTCTAGTACGCAAATAAACTCTGTCTTGCTGATTCATTTTGGAAATACACTTTAGTAAATTGCCTTTTAAAGTCTTGCCTCTGGTGGGATGCTTTAAAAAACCTCTAACAATTTACTTTTATGTACATAACTACACATGTATGTATGTATATATAAATAATTATAATTATAATTTTTGCACTCATTAACATATTCAAATTAATAAGAAGTTCATAAACATAATTACTGAACACTCGAACTTCTCAGCGTTCAAGTTCATAACGCGGTTGAACTAGTTAGAAGCATTATATACATATGTAAATACCTGTATGCCCCATTCACCTGCCATTTTTTATTGCCACTTATGTTTGTTTTCGAATATATTTTTTTAAGTAGGTACATATATGTACATTAAATACAGTGCTGTTAAAAAAATAAGCAATGTTTGGTTATCATAGTCGTCAATCATTGTGTTCAGTGGTGTTAAGTCTTACAAGGTATATGTACATTAGGGCGGTCCAAAATTAGGGAAGTCGGAACTTTTTATGCTCTCACCCCCTAGGATGGTTCTATATCGAAAGAGGTGTATCCATATTTTTTTTATTTTGAAATCAAAAAATATTCATTTATTCAATTAATTTTGTATGGGAAAAAATCAACTTTTCGTGGAAATGGTATGGAATTCTTTAAAATCAATATTTTTCGACCGGAAAACTCTAGTTCTATTCAGGAAACTTCCAATAACAATATTTAATTATTTATTTAACCATTTTTTAATAATGAAGATATATTATTTATCCCCCCCATTGCATTTTCTGGCATTTTCTAGAGGGTTTTGGCGGTCCTATAAAATAAGTAACTTTATTACATACAGAATACATTGTTAACAAAATAAATAGGTTTTTTATTGGAAATCTGTTGAAGAGAAACAGAGTCTTCTGATCGAAAAATATTGATTTTCGAGAATTCTATACCATTTCCACGAAAAGTTCTTTTTTCCTCATGCAAAATACATGGAAAATTTTGAGCGCTTTGAGCGACCTCTACAAAAAAAAAGGGGTATACTTTTTTCGTTATAGAACAATCCTAGGCGGTGAGAGCATAAAAATTCAGAATTTACTTTTTTACATGCATTTTTGGACCACCCTAATGTACATGGTGTAAATCAGCGACCTCTTCTTGTTTTTAGTTGGGGCTACAGATCCTTCTCATTTTTTTTTTCAAAATAGTTCTTGTTTCGCATACGACTGAGTCGCCTTCGGATCTATAAAAATGAAAATTTGGCATCAGCGTTGGCATTATTGATATTTATCGGAAATGTAGCCATATTCCCCATTTTGAAATAAAGGTGTTAAGAACATAACAACATTCGTTGTCTCATTGATAATGACTAAATTGAGTCTATTGTCGATAAACACGACAACGCAAACGAAAATAGGCTCGCTTGTCTAAAACCTGGTTTGATCTCAAAAGGACGAAGCTGACGGTTGTGCTCAACGTCACTCTACATAGCCAACAACATCGTGGATATGAGCAATTATAAATAGACGTATTTCGCAATATTTGGCGCATAGAGCGGACACTCCTTTTTGAAAGTGGGCAAATGACACTCAGAATCTTACCTTTAATTTGACGGTATTAAAACTATGTAAAATAAAACTGGTTTCCATTTTTCGAATAACTCGAAAACCGGTTTTGGAAAAAAGGTGAATAATCGAACGCCGTAGTGGCCACTATTTCACCGAAATTCCGTAAAAAATACATGAAACATTGGAGAACATGTATTTTGGGGATTGGTGCACCAAATTTCGCACATAACTTTTTCCTTGCTTGAAACAAAAAACGTAGGACGGCAACTGCAGTTTAATCCACCAAACCAAAATAATTTTCCAAACACCCAGGCCCATTGTACTTAAAGCCAAGCGGAATTATTTAGAGGATAGTGATATATATATAAGTATATACAGCTGGGATGGGAATTCATTGCTCCTCTGCAAACCTACCAGACTATTTTATGTATCTTAGCAGTTTGTTGGGGGAAAGAGAATGTAGCTCCTCCACTCTCAATCCATCCGATCCAAAAATGTACCATTTAAGTCTGGCAAACAAGATGTACACATTATATCTATACTGGCCTACGGTGATCACCACAGTGTCCTGTCACCCGACAAGTTCAAGCTTGTTCCATCTCGTAACGGAGTTCAGTTTTCAATACCTTTAGGGCAGCTTAGATGTAATTGCAGACACTGATTTTATTTCCGCGCTACCTTTTGCCAATTATCCAGTCTGCCTCTTTCAGTATTGCAAAGACTTCCGATTGAAATACCGTTGCCATTGCATACAAAGCAGTAAACAACCCTTAAGATACCTTTTTAGTTTTAGCCTTCTTTACCGAACTCTGCATTGTTCCCTTGTTGAATAGCCAAAAAAAGTAGACTCAGTTTGCCATTAGGTGCCGAAAACAAAGGGTATTTCTCTGGCCGCCTTTTAAACAACTCTCTGCGAACTGCGATCGTTGTGCCACAATCCAATTTCAGTTGACACGTCGCTTTCATTGCCTCCTCTTGGATCGCTAAAGCCAAAGATGGTAAATCCAGCAAAGCTTTAACAGCCAGTCGTGGCGTAGTGGTTAGGACGCCCGTAATGCCTTAAGAGTGTGGATATTTGTAGCCTGCTTAACATAGAAACTTAATGCTTTAGTTTTTTTATCTAAATTTTCTACTATCTTTAAGGCCGGATCAGACGACTGCGCACTTGCTCAAAATGTAGAGTA